GATGTAGGTGATGGGGAGGAAGGCAGCAAATCACACTGCCATGTGTGTACCTATGCAACAATCTTGCATGTTCTTCACATGTACCCCAAAACCTAAAATGCAATAAAATAAATGGAAAAAAAATATATATATACACCTTTAAAAAAAAAAAAGATGCTTCAAGACAGACTAGATAATAGATATATAATTTTATAAAATTAAATATTTTTTAATTCTCTTGGTTGTGATAATGGTATTTTAACATAGAGGATTGTCTTTATTCTTAGAGATGAATGCTAAAATATTTAGATGTGAAGTTTCTTGATGTTTATAACTTCATTCAAATATATAGTAAAAAAGAAAAAACCTGTATACGTATCTAAATAATGTTAGCAGTTCTGTTGAAGCAGAGGGTATAAAAGGTATATTTGAAATTTTCCACAAAATTTCCTTAAAGCTTAGGGGAAGATGGAACATAGAACAGATATTTAGACTCATTTTGAAGAAAGAGGAGGAAAAAAAACTTTTTTAATGAGAGTGAAAGTGAAGATTTTTTCCCTTTTTCTCTGCTGCTTGAATCAGCATGAAGTTTTTAAATGATGTAATCTCTTGCCAAATTGAACTATTTGACTAAAAGGAGTTTTAGGGTAGATATTTTTAGAATGAATGTTGATACATGTGAAAAGTCTGCTGATGGGTCAGATAGTTTAGAATATGTCAGTATTTGTGTTTTTTAATTTAGATTGTATGGCATCTGAAAAGGATCGCTTCTCATTCTTGGCTGTTTATTTGTCTTTGTTACAGGTTCGTATTCAAGAGACTCAAGCTGAGCTTCCTCGAGGGAGTATACCCCGCAGTTTAGAAGTCATTTTGAGGGCTGAAGCTGTGGAATCAGCTCAGGCTGGTGACAAGTGTGACTTTACAGGGACACTGATTGTTGTGCCTGATGTCTCCAAGCTTAGCACACCAGGTCAGTAATCTGTGGCTGAGACTTAACAAATTCTCAGTTACCTAAACTGCAGAGTATAGCTTCCCACATCTTCATTGTCTTCTTTTTGGCTGCCAATCAGAAGCTGAGCAAGGAAGTGTGATGAGAATAAAAACAAATTGGTTTTGCCACAAATGGTGCTATTCTGAAAGTTTTCAAGGCTTAAGTGAAGTCTTTGCATTTATACTTTCATTTATTCGAGCAATTTTGATGTTCAGCGCCTTTAATGTTTATGTTGTGAAATACCCTATCATTCTGTTTCAGGAGCACGTGCGGAAACTAATTCCCGTGTCAGTGGTGTTGATGGATATGAGACAGAAGGCATTCGAGGACTCCGGGCCCTTGGTGTTAGGGACCTTTCTTACAGGCTGGTCTTCCTTGCTTGCTGTGTTGCACCAACCAACCCAAGGGTAAGTTGTTTTTAGGTTTTTGTTTGTTTTTGAAACAGAGTCTCTCACTCAGGCTGGAGTGCAATGGCAAAGTCATGGCTCATTACAGCCTCTACTTCTGGGCTTAAGTGATCCTATCACCTCAACCTCCTGAGCAGCTGGGATTATAGGGTCACAGTTAAAAAAATTTTTTTAGAGTGAGATCTTGCTCTCTTGGCCATGCTGGCCAACAGTGAGTCTTAGTAGAATGACAGCTTAAGAAAGACCTACCCTTAGGCTGCCACAAAATGATAGGATTCTGAAACATCTAGGTTATCTAGTCAATGTTAAGAGCAGGGAATGAGGTTGAGATTTCGTGCATTTTAAAACCAAATCTTTTAATGTATGTCTTTTTGATCTTGGAAAAAAAATGTCTTATTTGATGTCTTAAATAAGAGCTCAATGCTTTACGTGCAGTGGTACAAATTATCCCAGCTGCTTTTAAGTTTCACAGTTCCTCTGTTATACTTCTGGAGGAAATATAAATAGATTTAGTAATCTGGGAAGTAAATTTCTAAGAATGATGAACCCTGGCCAGTATTGTTCAGTTAACTTGATTCTGTGTCATAAATGAGAATTTGGAAAATAGTTCAGTGTTGGAAAAAGGGGGTGAACATAATCTGTTATTTGCATCTTTATGTCAGTGGTGAACATTCTACTCATCTCTTGAGCATTCAGATTGTTTTAAATATAGGTATAAAACAGTAGTGGTAGCTTTTTTTTCTTTTTCACTCACTGGACAAATGACAGAGCCTTAAGTGTCTTCATTAACTGAGGGCTTACTAGTTTGGGGAATTTGTTTTATTATTTTTTAATTTACAGTCAACAAATTGTGAGGTTGACTTCCCATGCTATGTTGTGTTTGTAATGAAGTTTCTTCTCCTTCACACTGTTTTGATTGCTTCTGAACTAATAATTCTTCCTTTGTTCTCCACAAAGTTTGGAGGGAAAGAGCTCAGAGATGAGGAACAGACAGCTGAGAGCATTAAGAACCAAATGACCGTGAAAGAATGGGAGAAAGTGTTTGAGATGAGTCAAGATAAAAATCTATACCACAATCTTTGTACCAGCCTGTTCCCTACTATACATGGTAAGAATTCCATTCCATCCATAGCATAAACTTGAAATCAAAATAATGATTATAAATAGCCACAAATGATTTCTTAAAGCATGTAAATCAGACCATGAAAGTTTTTAGTGGTCTAAAAGAGGTCATCTACAAAAGGACAGGTACATGATTTCACTTACATGAGGTACCTGTAATGCGCAAATTCATAGAGACAAGGAAGGATAGAGGTTATCAATGGCTGGGGAAATGGGAGAAATGAGTTATTTAATGGATAAAGTTGCTATTTGGGATGATGACAAAGTTCTGGAAAGGGATAGTGGTGACAGTTATACAACATAATGTGCTGACTGCCTCTGAACTATACACTGAAAAATGGTTAAAATGATGAGTTTATTATGTTTTTTTGTTTTGTTTTGTTTTGTTTTTTTGTCTTTTTGTTTTTTTCCTTTTTGTGGAGAACGGGGTCTCGCCATATTGCCCAGGCAGGTCTCGAACTCCTGGGCTCAAGCTATCCTCCCGCCTCTGCCTCCCTAAGAGCTGGGATTACAGGCGTAAGCCACAGCGCCCGGCTATTTTGTATTTTTATCACATTTTTTTTTTTTAAGAAAAGTCATTTTGTCTTATTTCCTGGCCTTGTGTCAGAACTGCACTTAAGTGTGTTTCAATATGATAGACTAGTCTCCTGGCCTTTTATTGTTTTGCGTGCGTGTGCATGTGTGTTTTAAAGAGACAGGGTCTTGCTATGTTATCTAGGCTGAAGCAGTCCCTCCTGGGCTAAAACAGTCCTCCTACCTCCAGCCTCCCCAGTAGCTGGGATTATAGGTGTAGGCCACCACACTTGGCTCTTGTATCTTTTTTTTTTCTCTTGAAACAGAGTCTTGCTTTGTTGCCCAGGCTGGAGTGCAGTGGCGTGATCTCGGCTCACTGCAACCTCCGCCTCCTGGGTTCAAGTGATTCTCCTGCCTCAGCCCTTCCAAGTAGCTGGGATTACAGGCACACACTACCATGCCCGACTAATTTTTGTATTTTTAGTAGAGATGGGATTTTTGCCATGTTGGCCAGGCTGGTCTCAAACTCCTGGCTTCAAGTGATCCGTCTGCCTTGGCATCCCAAAGCACTGGGATTACACGGGTAAGCCACTGCACCCTGCCTTTTTTTTTCTATCTTAATATAAGTTAGAGAAGTTCTGTTTGTGGAATGGGTTTTTAATTTTCTACCTCTTTTGTTTTGTTTTGTTTTGTTTTTTGAGACAGGGTCTCACTCTGTTGCCCAGGCTGGAGTGCAGTGGCAGGAAACATGGCTCATGACAGCCTCAACCTCCTGGGCTTAAGCAGTTCCCCACCACAGCCCCCCTGTTAGCTGGGACTACAGATGCCTGCCACCATGCCAAGCTAATTTAAAAAAACAGTTTTTAGAGATGGGGTTTCAACCATGTTGGCTGGGCTGGTCTTAAACTTCTGGGCTCAAGCAATCCTCCCTCCTTGGCCTTCCAGAATGCACAGATTACAGGCATGAGCCACCATACTCAGCCTAATTTTCCACATTAAGGAATGCCGTATGTAAATTTGCATGGCACTTTGTTGATGGAGTTCACAGAGTCGATAATTCCACAGAAAAACGTTTCTTTCAATAGCACGGTGTTCTTTTAAAGAAAATTACACTTTTCCTTCTTGGATTTATGAACTAAGCAGCTGTAAATTGTATTCAGTATTTTATTTAATCCACATGAATTCAATTAACATATTTATTCAGTGCTGGTCACTGTAGGTGTTAGAAAAGAAGCGTTATGAACCATTTCCTCAAACACTTGACAGAACTATGAGAACAGCCATTAAAAAGGACTAGCAAATGTGGTAGGCTTTGGTGGACATAGTTCATTTGTCAGGAGACGGGGCTGAGGCATTAGGTAAGGTTTTGTGTAGGAAATACGACTCATGGACAAGTAAAGGCTCTTAGGATGGTGAGCACTGGCATCTGACATTTGTGGTATAGGAGAAAACATTTGAACAGTGGTTTAGGTGCCTAAGTCCACAGAGCAAGAACCAAGATCAGAGCCAGATATTATTACTCCAGTTTTATGCTTTGCTTTAGCTGACTTTACCTTTTGGTTAGTAAGCATGCCTTTAGCGTTTCCTCTGAAAGTGTTTAACTTCATGTTGAAAAATTAGTTTTTCATGTACAGCTTCTTTTCATTTCAGGCAATGATGAAGTAAAACGGGGCGTCTTGCTGATGCTCTTTGGTGGCGTTCCAAAGACGACAGGAGAAGGGACGTCTCTTCGAGGGGACATAAATGTTTGCATTGTTGGTGACCCAAGTACAGCTAAGAGCCAATTTCTCAAGTAAGCATTTGCCTGATAATAGTACAGCAGGAAAAAGTGTACATAGTTCCCAGGCTTGCCGTGCTACCAAGAATGTAGTTAGTATGGCTTTACTAGGAGTGTAAATTATGACTATGGTGACTATATAATTCTCAGATTAAATATTATTACCTTTTATCTAGGATATGGCAACATTTTACAATTTTTTAGAATAGGGGAAAATTGCCTGTAGTACCAATCTCACATTGAACTCTTTAGTCTTTGTATAAAAGTCTTTGAATATGTGAATTATGTATTTTCATTGTTGTAAATCACATTGTCCATACTTGTGATTTTAATTTCCCCTAAACATTTTTTCCTTGTTTCTTTATGCATGGAAAAATCTCATGAGTTTGTCGTTTTTACAATTGTTTCTATTTATTGGTATACTGTAACTTACAAAATCATTTTCTTAGCCCTGTTAAATAGTTCAACAGGATAGTTTGTTATAATAATTACTGATACAGATACAGTGAACATCATGATGTTATATACATTTTTTGTTTGTTTCCTTTGGGTAAATTGCTAGATACAAGATTGTTGAGACTAAGAATACAAACATTTGTAAGGTTTTAACACGGAACATACTTTCCAAAGGGAATTTTATACTAACTTCGTCAGCGTAAACACTATTTTTGCCTAGTTTTAGAAGCTATAATAAATACTTGGTTGCTTTCAAACTTTTAAGAAACTTAGGACCCCAAATAAAAGCAACCCCAGTTTCTGCGCACCTGCCATGTTCTCAGTGCTATGTATGTGTTATGTCTTATTCTAGCAGTACCCAGACAGGCATGTGTATTACCCTTTTTTTTCAGGGAGTCAAAACCTCTCCAAGCCCATGAGAAATTTGCCCACTTTCTTGTAGGTGAAAGATGACACTGAACCATGAATACTAAAATTTAGATAAAGTGGCCTGCAAAATGTGTACTTCATAATACATCAAGCTATCTTTTATTTGTTTTGGAAATTTGTAACATAGTACCATTTTAGAATATTGAACATTTTTAGTTGGTTTGGAGTTTTATGATTAAATATTTCTTTTGAACGTATCACGAACTAAGTTTTAGATTTTAAGATGGTAGTGGTAGTCCTATGTTACAAGGGATTTTTTTTTCCTTTTCACTCTCTCTCAAAAAAAAAAAGATATACTACAGTGTTGCCTCTGGTAAGAGTATCGTGGTATGTGACAGTCTTAGTGAATTCCATAGCATTTTCTATGTATAAGGTGTATATATAATGATAGCTGGAGTATCCAGTCTGGCTGCCTTTTTTCCTTGCCTAATTGCCCTTGATTAGAGCCATGAGTATAATGTTGAATAAAAGTGGCAAAAGCAGACATCCATGTTTTGTTCCTGATATTAGGGGCAAAACCTTCAGCCTTTCACCTTTAAATATGATGTTATCTGTGGGTTTTCATAGATGTCCTTTGTCAGAGTAAAGAAAAATCCCTTTGTTTATTAGGCTTAGGAAAATCTTTTCTATTCCTGGTTTGTTTGGTTTTTATAATGAAAGGATGTTGGATTTTGTCATATGCTTTTTCTACATCTGTTTAGTTGGTCATGTAGTTCTCTTATTAATTTAGCGTGTTAATTGGTTTTCAGATGTTAAATCAATCTTGCAGTTCTGGAATAAGCCCTGCATCTAGCTTTGTTTTGTTTTGTTTTGGTTTGTTTCTTTGATACAGAGTCTCACTCTTGTCACTTAGGCTGGAGTGCAGTGGTGTGATCTCAGCTCACTGCAACCTTCAATGCCCAGGTAGTGATTCTCCTGCCTCAGCTCCCAAGCAGCTGCGATTACAGGCACCTGCCACCACACCTAGCTAATTTTTGGATTTTTAATAGAAATAGGGTTTCACCATGTTGGCCAGGCTGGTGCTGAACTCTTGACCTCAGGCGATCCACCTGCCTTGGTCTCCCAAAGTGCTGAGATTACAGGTGTTAGCCACCATGCCTGGCCCTGTTTTATTTTTAATTGGAAGGCCTTCTGATAGATAATTGTTGCTGTTTATTACTATTAAAGACTTCTTTTAAAATTGATGTTTTAGGCTGGACGGGGTGTATCGTGCCTGTAAATACAAAAGTTAGCCAGGCAGGGTGGCAGGCACCTGTAATCCCAGATACTTGGGAAGCTGAGGCAGGAAAATTGCTTGAACCCGGGTGGTGGAGGTTGAAACTGAGCTGAGATGATACCACTGCACTCCAGCCTGGATGACAGGAGCAAGACTTCGTCTCAATTTTTTAAAAAAATTGATGTTTTTATCAGGTATTAACGTCATCTTCCATTTAACATGAATGGATTTAAGTCTGTTTGAAAAGGTGAAGGAGACCAGGTGCAGGGGATCACTTGAGGTTGGGAGTTTTATACCAGCCTGGCCAACATGGTGAAACCCCATCTTTACTGAATATACAAAATTGAGCCAGGCATGGTGGCACACGCTGGTAATCCCAGCTACTCGGGAGAATGAGGCATGAGAATTGCTTGCACCTGGGAGGTGGAAGTTGCAGTGGGCTGAGATTATGCCACTGCACTCCAGCCTGGGTGACAGAGCGAGACTTCATTTCAAAAACAAAAAAAAAAGCAAAGCGGAAGGAGATAAGCCTTCCCATTTAGTCTGTGGCATGTGTCTTTATGAATTGCTTAAACTCAATGCCATTCTCAGATGTTACTTCAGTTGTTTAAACTCTTCTGCTGATTTTCCTGGGAAGAGTACTGTATAGTCACATATTAATGAGTTTATGTGATAACCTTCAACAGGCATGTGGAGGAGTTCAGCCCCAGAGCTGTCTATACCAGTGGCAAAGCATCCAGTGCTGCTGGCTTAACAGCAGCTGTTGTGAGAGATGAAGAATCTCATGAGTTTGTCATTGAGGCCGGAGCTTTGATGTTGGCTGATAATGTAAGAACATTTTACACTCTTCAGTATAAAGAAGTCAGAATGCCCTGTATTCTATCAGTAAAGTCCCGTAAGTTACCATTAAAAAGATGTCCTTAAAAACAGCATTCTCGGCCAGGCACGGTGGCCCACACCTGTAGCCCCAGTACTTTGGGAGGCCAAAGTGGGCAGATCACCTGAGATCAGGAGTTCAAGATCAGCTTGGCCAACATGGTGAAACCCGTCTCTACTAAAAATACAAAAATTAGTGAGGCACTGTGGCGGGTGCCTGTGGTCCCAGCTACTCAGGAGGCTGAGGTGGGAGGATCACTTGAGCCAGGGAGGTAGAAGCTGCAGTGAACCAAGATTGCACCACAGCACTCCAGCCTGGGTGACAGAGCGAGACTCCGTCTCAAAACAAAAAAGCCCAGCATTTTTTAGTAAATAATTCATAGTTTTCTTCAATTAGAATTTAAAATTGTTATCATTGAACAGCATGTTCTGAGCTTCTAGAGTGTGTTACCTGTCCTGAGCATGTGTGTGGTTGCTGTGACTAATTAGATCAGTAGATGTGGATAAGTTGTAGGTATAAAGTCAATCCTGAGTTGACAACAAGGTTTTGATGTTGAGTAAAAGTACAGTAAGTGCATATTTTTAGTTATGCTCTTAGTTTTAAGTCAATTGTATGGTTCTTTCTAGCTGTACGATCTGTCGAATTATTTTCCTTAGAAAAGAGAATTAAGAATGTTCATTTACCTATCTTCTACTTGTTTGGAGAATAGAAGAGTCCCCGTGATAGCAAACTTTGTGAGTGTACTTGTAATTTTCCATCTGAAAGGCAGTTATTTTTTTGCTTTGTTTTTTTGAGACAGGTGGAGTAGTGGTACAATCTCAGCTCACTGCAACCTCCACCTCCTGGGTTCGAGCAATTCTCCTGCCTCAGCCTCCTGAGTAGCTGGGACTACAGGCGTATGCCACAAGGCCAGCTAATTTTTGTATTTTTAGTAGAGACGGGTTTTTGTCATGTTGGCCAGGCTGGTCTCAAGCTCCTAACCTCAGGTGGCCTGCCTTCCTCGGCCTCCCAAAGTACTGGGATTACAGGTATGAGCCACTGTGCCTGGCTGTTGTTTATTAAGAGACAGGGTCTCACTCTGTCACCCAAGCTGGAGTCCAGTGGCAGTCATAGCTCAGTGTAACCTCAAATGCCTGGCCTTAATTAAGCGATCCTCCTGCCTTGGCCTCCCAAAGTGCTGGGATTACAGGTATGAGCCATTGCACCCAGCCTGAAAGACAGCTTCTTAGGCTAGATTTGTTTGATTACAGGGTGTGTGTTGTATTGATGAATTTGATAAGATGGATGTGCGGGATCAAGTTGCTATTCACGAAGCTATGGAACAGCAGACCATATCCATCACTAAAGCAGGAGTGAAGGTATGTGTATCTACTTCTGTTCTGCTGCATCATCCATAGCCTTATAGATTAATGCAATACTAGAGAAGTTCACCTGGATAAAATTCATTACTTAAACATGTAATGATGTTCATTAAAATGGAAAATACAGCCCTGAGAATTATTTATCCAAATTGTAAATGTTGTTTAGAGTACTGTGTAAATGTATTGCTGTGATAGTAGAGGAAAATGTCCATGAACAAAGCTTCTATTTTCTTTCATAAAGTATGCACCAATTATAACAAAAATAACCAAAGATCAACAGATTGATTATATACGTATATATTTATTTTGATTAACAGATTATTTAAATGAAAATAGGTATGATAGTATAACCAACACTAGGGAGAATCTAAACTTTAAAAGCTACAGATTCAGGTAGTTAAGAAAAATTTAAGCAGTACACAATTGTAAATTGAAAAGACAACTCTTTGCCTGCAACTGCCAACAACAGTAGATACTTAGATGTATCTAATGCGTTAAAAGGAATTTGAGAAGGGAAAAAAAAAAAGGCATCTTTTGAGTTTGTACCCCTTTTAGGAATATTTTTTACATAAATAAGCATAATACCGAGTTTCATTTTTGCTGGTTTAACTTCATAATTTTATTTTGGCAATATTTGTACTGGCACATAGTAGATCAACTTTGGTTTTTTATTACTGTCCTGTATTCAATTGTATATGCCACAGCTTGATTCTTTAGATTCCTGTTGAGTGACATTTGGTTCATTTTCAGTGTTTTGTATTACAAACAAAATTGTAGTAAACATCCTTGAACACAACATCTTCTTGTACTTAGCTGTAAGATAAATTTCTAACAAATTGATGTCTTAATGGTGTGTGTATCATACCACCAAAACCACATTGGAGTTCCTGTTTATGTGAAAAAGGATATCTCGTTTTGATTTTCATTTAGTTAATTATGGGTGAGATTAAACATTTTGTTGTATGTTTGTTGTCTGATGTCTTTTTAAAACCTGTCAAAATTCTTTCTTTTGTGGTCAGGCTACTCTGAACGCCCGGACGTCCATTTTGGCAGCAGCAAACCCAATCAGTGGACACTATGACAGATCAAAATCATTGAAACAGAATATAAATTTGTCAGCCCCCATCATGTCCCGATTTGATCTCTTCTTTATCCTTGTGGATGAATGTAATGAGGTAACCCCATAAGCTTCCTTTTTTATTTCCAGTTTTAGTTATCGAGTGAGACAAGGCTAGAGGATACACTGCTCAACAGCTGGTGCATGTGTGCCCACTAGCCTTTGATTTCCCTCAGGGAAGCACATGACTGGGCCGAAGGTTTAGTAAGCAACTCAAAGTCATTTGAATTGCCATTCTACTTAATTGTGTTGAAGAATATTAAGTTTTTGGGTTTTATTAGTATTTGTTTCTCAAAAGAAAAGGAAACAAGATACAGGTAACTTTCAACCACACTTTTTTCTTTTCTTTTCTTTTTCTTTTTTTTTTTTTTTTT